TTTTTTTTTTTTTTTTTAAATATATCTTTATTGATTTCAGAGAGAGGAAGGGAGAGGGAGAGAGAGATAGAAACACCAATGATGAGAGTGTCATTGGTCAACTGCAGCCCGCAACCTGGGCATGTGCCCTGACCGGGAATCGAACCCTGATCGCTTGGATCCTAGGTCGATGCTCAACTGCTGAGCCACACCCAGCCGGGCAACAGTCCTTTATCAGACATAACTTTTTTCCCAGTCTGTAGCTTATCTTCTTCTCTTGATGGTGACTTTTGTAGAGCAGACATTTTTATCTTTAATGAAGTCCAGTTAATCAATTCTTTTCATGGATTATGCTTTTGGTGTTATGTCAAAAACTCATTGCCAAACCCAACATCATCTAGATTTTCTCCTGAGTTATCTCCTCGTTTTATAGTTTTGAGGTTTACATTTAGGTATGTGATGTATTTTGAGTTAATTTTGTGAAAGGTATAATAAGGTCTGTATCTGGATTCATTTTCTTGCATATAGATGTCTAGCTGTTCTAGCACCATTTGTTGAAAGAGTATTTTTCTTCTATTGTATTGCTTTTACGCCTTTGTCAAAGATCACTTGACTATATTTATGGGGATCTCTTTCTGGACTTTATTGTATTGATCTGTTCTCTCACTAATACACACTGTCTTGATTACTATAGCTTCATAGTAAGTTGAGTAGTGTCAGTCCTCCAATTTTGTTCTTCAATATTGTGTTGGCTATTCTGGTCTTTTTTCTATTTCTATAAACTTTAGAATCAGTTTGTCACTGTCCACAAAATAAGTTGCTGAGATTTTGATTGGGATTGCATTGAATCTATAGATCAACTTGGGAAGAACTGACATTTTGACACTAGTCTTCCTATGCATGAGCATGGAATATCTGTTTGTCTCGTTCTGCTTTGATTTGTTGATCAGAGTTTTGTGGTTTTCTCATGTAAACCTTGTACATATTTTATTAGATTTATACCAAAATTTCATTTTTTTGGATGCTAATGTAAGTGGTACTGCATTTTTAACATCAAATTCCACTTGTTTATTCCTGATATATGAGAAAGTAGATAGCTTTGTATATTAATCTTGTATCTTGCAACACTGCTATAATCGCTTATTAGTTTGAGGTTTTTTTGCTGATTCAGATTTTCTACATAGATAATCGTTTCATGTGTGAACAAACACATTTTTATTTCTTCCTTCTTAATCTATATATCTTTTATTTCCTGTTTTTGTGTTAATAAATTAGCTAGGAAGGAATTCCAGTACAGTTTTCCAAAAATAGTGGTGAGAGGAGACATCCTTGCTTTGTTCCTGGTCTTAGAGGGAAAGCTTTGAATTTCTCACTACTAAATATGTTAGCTATATGTGTTTTGTAGATATTTGTTATCATGTTGAGGAAGTTCCCCTCTATTTCTAGTTTACTGAGAGTTTTTATCATGAATAGGGGTTGGATTTTGTTAAATGCTTTTTTGCATCTATTGAATATGGTCATGTGATTTTTCTTTTTTAGTTTATTGATGTGATTGATTACATTAATTGATTTTTGAATGGTGAACCAGTTGTACATACTTGGGACAAATCCCACTTGGTGGTTGTAATACTGTGATTTAAAATAAGAAATATATATTTGGTCTTCCTTCTGTTTCTGGCGCTGAGCTCCTACAACCCTTGTAATTTCCTAAGTGATGAGAGCACTAAAGGTGTCTTTTGTTATGTTAATAACGTGACTTTTGGAAAGTACCTAAGGATAGGGGTTTCTTGCCTGGAGAACCAACCATATAATTAGAGGGTTGGAACTTTTCAGTCCCATCTGGAGAGGAGAGGGGGCTAGAAGTTGAATCACTTGTCATTGGCCAATGATTTAATTTACCATGCCTAAGTAATTATGCCTCCATAAACACCCAAAAGGGTGGGATTTGGAGAGCTAACAAGCTGGGGAACCAGAACGCTTCCATATGCCACCACCAAACACCACGGGGACAGAAACACCTTTGTTCAGGACCTCATCCTATGTATCCCTTCATTTGGTTGTTGATTGTATCCTCTAATATCCTTTGTAATAAGCAAATAATTTAGTGAGTAAATAGATTTCCTGAGTTCTGTAACCTGCTCTAGCAAATTAATTGAATCCAAGGATAGGGGAACTTCTGATTTATAGCCAGTCAGTCAGAACTACAGGTAACAACCTGGACTTGTGACTAGCGTCTGAGGTCTCCTCTAGCAAATTACTAGAACCCAAGGAGGGAGTTGTGGGAACCTCCAATCTGTAGCCAGTTGGTCAGAATTACAAGTGATTCACATCTGAAGGTGGAGAGCAGTCTTGTGGGACTGAGCTCTTAACCTGTGGAATCTGTTGCTGTTTCCAGGTAGTGTCAGAATCAAGTTGAATTGTAGGATACCTTGCTGGTGTCAGGAACTTTGCTTGATGGTGCTAGAAATCTTACCCCTTACATTGGAATTGGGTCCAGAACCCATTAATTGTGGTATATAATTCCTTTTATATGCCACTTTTTATATTCCTTTTATAAATTCGATTTGTTAATATTTTATTGAGGATTTTTACATTTATGCTTATGAGAGGTGTTCAACTGTTGTTTTCTGTTCTTGAAATGCCTGTCTGATTTTGGTATTACAGTAATGCTGGCTTCCTAGAATGAGTTAGGAAATTGTCCCTCTGCTTCTTTTTTCTGAAAGAGATTATGGAGAATTGGTATATTTTACTTTTAATTTTTTAATTGAATATATCTGACATAGGACATTGTATAAACTTCCTTGAATGTTCTACAGAATTCACCAGTGAACCCTTATGTGCCTGGTATTTTCTGTTTGGAAGGTTTTTAATGATTCAGTTTCTTTAATAGATGTAGGCCTATTCAGATTGTTTATTTCTTGTGTGAGTTTTGGTAGATTGTGTCTTTCAAGGGATTGGACCATTTCACCTAGGTTATCAAATCTGTCAGGATAGAGTTATTCATATTATTCCTTGATTATCCATGGGATCTATAGTAATATCCCTTTTCATCTCTGATATTAGTAATGTGTGTCCTTTCTCTTTTTCTTTTCTTAGCTTGGCTAGAAGTTTATCAATTTTACTGATTCCCC